CCCCCGGGGAAGATGAAGGCGGAGGGGGGCGACCACTCCATGATCAACCTGTCGGTGCAGCAGGTCCTGAGCCTCTGGGCCCACGGGACGGTGCTGAGGAGCCTCACGGGTAATTGATGCGCCTGGGCTGGGGACCGGGATGCGTTGCCGCCCCCTGCCTCCTTTTCTCCTCCAGGGGAGGGACGCGCTCCTCGCCGCCCCACCCTGAGCGCGCCCCGCTCCGGAGCTCCCGATCCCAAGTCCCGGCGAGGAAAGTGTTAATCGGATGCGCTCTGCGCGTGTCCGGGGGCGCCGGCGCCCGCCACCCCTACCCCGAGTCGCCAGGGATAAGCATTCGCGACCCCGGCCCCCTGCCCTGCACGGGAAGGGCTCCCGGCGGCGGCCTGCCTCGTAGTACTGGCGGAGTAGCATTAGTGCTGAGACTTGAGCACAGTTAGCTTTTATTCCTTTACCCTCCTCCCCTCCCCCTTCCACACACACTGCTTCTTGCTGTTGAGAGCCTTTTCTGATTTAGCTTTTTTTTTTTCAGGGGAATCTCAAACCAAATGTAGGATTCAGATCCCATGCTCCCAGTGATCAGTTTGCTTCGACCGCTAATTTTTTTTTTTTTTTTGGCAATATAGATGACTAAGTAGATTCTAGTGGATTAGGGGCTGGGCCAAGGTCTAGTGCATTCTAAGCATTTTAGCTTTATATATCTTCTTCCTCTCCCATTTCCTTTTGTATGTCTGTCGCCCTCTGACCTCAAGCTGCTGCTCCTGTGATGTTTGATAATTTTGTGTATTTACTTTCATTCGTTAAGTCTGTGGAAACTTGGATTTAAGTACATTATAGTAACACCAGTTTCTATTTGTAAAAGTGAGCAGTAATACACATATTTTAATCTATAGGTTTGATTTGTGAAGAAACTTCTGGTTTTGTTGATGTGGAAATGCTTGTCATTTGAGTTCTAAATTTTAAAAATACCCTCTAAAGAGTAGAATTTACGAGAAAGATTCAGTTGCAATGCGGTGACTCCTCTGTGTCTGCTTTTCAGAGGGGGAAAAAAGAACATACCAAAGATTTTAGTTCCTGAAAATGTATAAGGTAGTTAATTTCTAGAGAGGTTTAATGTATCAAAATGCATTATGTCAAACTGGTTAAGAGTGGTATGAGTATTTTACAAATATAACCTGTGTTGACAACGTATTTTTAAAATATATAATACATATAAGCATTCAGAATTCACATTTTCATAGACAAAAATTTATGGCATTATTTACCATAAAGGACAACTTAGCCGGGCTCGGTGGCTCAGCCTGTAATCCCGCGCCTTTGGGAGGCTGAGGTGAGTGGATTGCTTGAGCTGGCGAGTTTGAGACCTGCTTGGGCAGTGAGACCTCATCTCTACAATAAATCAAAAAATCAGCCGGGCGTGGTAGCATGTACTGGAATTCTGGCTACTTGGAAGGCTGAGGCGAAAGAATCGCCGGAGCCCAGCAGATCGAGGCTGCGGTGGCTGGGCACTCCAGTCTGGGCGACAGAGTGAGACTCCAACTCAAAATTAAAAAAAAAAAAAGGACAATTTTAAGGACACTGATTTCCTTGAATGTGGAAACTATACATTTAAGATATATTCTGGATTGATTCATGATATCCTCACTTTTAAGGTTTGGTTACTTAACTTGAAATAACTGACTTTACATGATAATTGTAGGTTAGGCACATGTTTTTATTTATTGTTCTGAAAAACTAAATTGGCATAAAGATCATTTCATAATTCTGTTAAATTTAGAGATAGACTGCTTTATCTTATGTATGGCTTTGCTTATATTTATCCATGGTATGGTATTTCAAAGTATCAATTATGATTACTGAAGTGAAATGAAAAGTAAAGACCTAATAATACATATTTGAACCAGCATACCTTGGATATACTGCAGTTTTGGTTCCAGACCATTGCAATAAAGCAAATATTGCAATAACGTGAGTCCCATGATTTTTTTTTTTCTAGCGCTTATCAAAGTTATGTTTACACTATACTATAGTCTTTTAAGAGTACAATAACATTATGTCTAAAAATGTACATGTCTTAAATTTAAAATACTTAACAATCATCTGAATCTTCAGTGAGTTGTGATCTCTGCTGGTGTAGGGGTCTTGCCCTGATGTTATGGCTGCTAACTGATCAAGGTGGTGGTTGCTGAGGGTTGGGTGGCTGTGGCAGTTTCTTAATATAAGACAATATTACCTTAAAAATTGTCTCTTTTGGCCAGGCTCCGTGACTCAGCCTGTAATCCCAGCGCTTTGGGAGGCCGAGGTGAGTGGATTGCCTGAGCCCACGGGTTTGAGACCCGCCTGGGCAACTTGGCGAGACCTCATCTCTACAATAAATCAAAAATTAGCTGGGCGTGGTAGCGTGCACCTGTAGTTCCAGCTACTTGGAAGGCTGAGGTGGAAGGATCGCCGGAGCTCAGCAAGTCGAGGCTGCAGTGGCCGGAAGTGTGCCATTGCACTCCAGCCTGGGCGACAGAGTGAGACTCCAACTCAAAAAAAAAAAAGGCTCTTTCATGACAGATTTCTCTTTAGCATGTGATGATGTTTGGTAGTATTTTACCCACAGTAGAACTCTCAAAATTAGAATTCATCCTTTCAAACCTTGCCTGTGCCTTATCAATTGGGTTTATGTAATATTCTAAATTCTTTGTTGTCATTTCAACAGTGTTCTTAGCATTTTTACCAGGAGTAGATTCCATCTCAGGAAACTACTTTCTTTGCTCATTCTTAAGAAGAAACTCCTAATCCTTTCAAGCTTTATCATGAGATTGCAGCGATTCGGTCACATCTTCAGGCACCACTTACAATTTTAGTTCTCTTGCTATTTCCACTGTACCTGCAGTTGCTTCCCCCACTGAAGTCTTCAACCCCTCAAAGTCATCCCTGAGAGTTGAAGTCAACTTCTTCCAAATGCTTGTTAATGTTAATATTTTGACCTCCTCCTGTGAATCACAGTTGGTCTTAATGACATTGGAATGGCAAATCTTTTCTAAAAGGTTTTCAGTTTACTTTATCCAGATTCATCAGAGGAATCTCTATATATGACATCTTTAGCCTTAAAAAATGTATTTATTTCATAAGTAGTAAGACTTGAAAGTTGAAATTCATCCATGGGCTGCAGAATGGATGCTTTTTTCCTTTTAGCAGTCATGAAAATAACATTAATTCACTTGGATATCTCTGTCAAAGCTCTTGGGTGACCAGGTGCCATGACAATGAGCGGTAATACTTTGAAAGGAATCTCTTTTTTAGAGCAGTAGTTTTCAACAGTGGGCTTCAAATATTCAGTAAAACATGATGTAAACAGATGTGCTGTTCTCCAGGCTTTCTTGTATCATTTACAGAGCAAGGCAGAATAGACTTAGCCTAATTCTCGAGGACTATAGGATTTTGGGAATGGTGAATAGGCATTGACTTTAACTTAAAGTTACTAGTTGTGTTATTGCATAATAAGTGAATCAGCCTGTCCTTTGACACTTTGAAGCTAGGCATTCACTTCTATCTATGGAAGTCATAATGGCATCTTCTAATATAAGGCTGTTTCATCTACATGGAAAATCTGTTGTTTGGTGTAGTCACTTCATCAGTGATCTTAGCTAGATCTTCTGAATCATTTGCTGCAGTGTCTACATCAGAGCTTGTTGCTTCATCTTGCAATTTTCTGTTATGGAGACAGCTTCTTAAACTTCATGAACTATCCTTTGCTAGCTTTCTCATTGCTCTCAGCTTTCAATAGAATTGAAGAGAGATGGGGCCTTGCTCTGGATTAAGTTTGGAGCTTAAGGGAATGTTGTGGTTGGTTGTTCTGTTTAGACCACTAAAACTTTCTTCATGTCAATGTCAGATTGTTTTGTTTTCTTATCATTTGTGTGTTCACTGGAGTAGCACCTTTAATTCCCTTCAAGAACTTTTTCTTAGACTGGGTGTGGTGGCTCAAGCCTGTAATCCTAGCACTTTGGGAGGCTGAGGTGAGAGAATTGCTTGAGCCCAGAGGTTTGAGACCAATCTGGGCAACTTGGTGAGACCTCGTCTCTACAGTATATCAAAAAATTAGCTGGACGTGGTGGCACGTGCCTGTAGTTCCAGCCACTTGGAAGGCTGAGGTGGAAGGATTGCATGAGCCCAGCAGGTCAAGGCTGCGGTGGCCGTGAGCATGCCACTGCACTCCAACCTGGGTAACAGAGTGGGATTCCAATTCAAAAAAGAAAATACAGGAAAGAACTTTTTCTTTATATTCACATCTTGGCTGTTTGGCACAGGAGGACAAACTTTTAGCCTGTCTTGGCTTCTGACATGTCTTCCTCCCTAAACTTTATTATTTCTAGTTTTTGATTTAAAGTGAGAGATATGCAACTTTTCCTTCCACTTGAACACTTATAGGCCATTGCAGGGTTGTTGATTGGCCTAATTTGAATACTTTTGTATCTTGGAGAATAGGGAGACCGGAGGAGAGGGAAAGAAATGATAGATGGCTGGCTGCTCAGTGGAGCAGCCCAAACATATAGCCTTTATCCATTAAGTTTGCTGTCTTACATGGATGTGGTTCGTTGTGTCCCAAAACAATTGTAATAGTAACATCAAAGATTACAGATCACCGTAACACACTATAATAATGAAAAAGTTTGAAATATTGTGAGAATTACCAAAAAGTGCCTAAGAATTACCAAAAAGTGCCTAAGAACACAATGAGTCATGCTGTTGGAAAAATGGCACCGATAGACTTGCTTTACCCACAAACCTGCGATTTGTAAAAATCGCAGTAAAGCAAAGAGCAATAAAACAATGCATGCCTCTCTATGTTAAAGACTGACTTAGCTTATCAGAGTGTATTTAGATAAAGTTAACTTTGGGAGCCATTGAGTAAATGTACATGTAACCTACCTCTTAGCCAGATTTAACAATATTTTAAAATATTGAAGATGCTAATTGTAGTTGTTTCTAGTTCCACCAGTCAACCGTTAAACTGATGAAAGTAGTTATCCATCCATGTTTAGCTCTGATTATCTCTCAATATGATCTTAATACTTGTCAGTTGCTCATTGTCAATTCATAAAGGATGTACTGAACATCCAA